ATCTGCTTTAGACAGAGTCACTCACAGGAAAGTAAAAGGGAGACTCGGTCACCATGAATCCAAACTCCCTGCCATTTTTCTGTGTGTTAATCTGAATATAGAACTGCTAGCTTCACTACAATAACTGGATATAAAACATTTCCTAAATGAACCTTTCCAGGATGCAGTTACATGCTTTATAGCTCTACTTTCTGCGTGTGTATTCATTTACTTTCTGCTGGAAAACCGCGGTGCTTTTATATTCAATGCTTATATTCAATTCAATTCATACTAAGAAGCCTGTCCTCTGGGAATAAAGCTCCAAGTTGTCTCATTCTCGACTCATCTGAGATTTTATTGCTTTTGGTCAAGGATCACTGTGAGAGTCATATCATTTATATAATCATTTTTTAAAACCTCGGCACACTGTCCCAGATGTGTAAATGTGGATCCATATTTGATGAGTTCCTACATTATTTAGAGCAAAGAAGAAAAGTCTAAGTGTGATTTAGTAACAGCCTGTAAGACATTCAACCTTCGTGCAGGAGGCAGGACCTATGGATGGGGCACACAGGAACGATGGCATGGGGTCGCTACTTGGGATCAGGGAGCATTTAAATTCGTCTAAAATCAACTCCTCTGCTTCACCACCACCCTCAATGCTTCCTTCTCTCCCCACTTCACCCCTCTGCTCACAAGCCTATGTTAATAGGTGAGGCACAAGAAACATTTTGGATTTTTTCCCCCAAGAGATCTCAACATTTCAGCATTCCATTTTATTGTCCAAACCATCAAAGAAGAAGTCTCAAGATGTTAAAAACATCATTTTCCTACAAATACAGAGTGAGCATGAATGCCTGTACCAAAACAATAACAAAGGATATTCGGAAGACCCACCAGACAGGGCTCCTGTCTATATATGATATTAAAACGTCACATCATCATCTTTGTGCCTCAATTCTACCAGTACCCTTCAGTCAAAGTCCACTAAAAACACATCTACAGTTAAACAAGCTGGGTTTATTTCTCGTTGCAGTGAAGGAGAATGCTCCCCATGGGGAATTGTGGGGTGTCCCAGTAAGAGGACATGAGAAAGAACCCTTTGTGGGATTTGGGTTAGGGTTGAGCATCTGGGGCAGCAGACCTAAGACAGTCAGGGTTGGCCCTGGACTGGTTCCTGTCCGAAAGCAGGGGCAATTCTGTGATTGAGGGTCTCATCATATCTTACCGACAGGGAGGGAAACTAGAACAAGGATAGAGTTGTGATTGGTAAAGAAGTAGGAGACACTCATTTTGGCCAAAAATAAACTTAAAAAAAAAAGATATTTGCTCTTTTGTGAGTGGCACAGTGATCTTGTTTTTGGCTGTGCTTGAAAAGAAAAAGAAAATGGTCTTGTTTTGTCTCATTTTAGCAGAGTAAACTTGGTCTCATTTACGTATGAGTAACCTTGTCTGAAGTTGAAATTCTGTGAGATCGTTTATACCTAACGGGAGCGTAATGTGGCCTCACTGCAAATGCAGGCTATCTTCCCAATGTCAGGTGCTCATTTTTTTCTTTTCTCATTTCCAACTTTTGGATAATTTTTCTCAACACCATAAATGCATGAATAAGTGAATGACTAGCAGGAATAAATTTAACTTAGGAAAATAAAGTGACATGCATCACACTCAAGAATTACAAATTCAAATCGGGTCACATGATCGCATCATCATCATTACCAAGAACAGCTGATTTCCCAACGTCCCACCACCTCAAGGACTCTCTCAGGCAGCAAGGACAGAGCCCAGTGAAGATCAGGCTGCTAAAAAATTGCTAAAAGCTCCAGCCAACTGATATAGAGCCCCCTCATCTTTCAGATAGGACCTCCCTTTCTGAGTGATGCCGACAGCCGGAGGACGCAAGACAACATGAGTGGGTGAGACACTAAGTGTATTTACACACGGGCACAGCCCTGGGTGTGCCCAGGAAGTTCTCAATCACTCGGTCTCAACCATTTTCTCCTTTCAGCCATCCCTGGTGGCCCTCTGGTGAGGGAGTTCACTCCTCAAACCCTTCCCGAACTCCTCCCTGCCCCTTCCCGGAGAGGGGGGTCCCTGCACCACCTTCAGCTCCTGCCCGATTGTGCTATACTTCATTTACATGTGATTTTCTCGTGATGACTTCATTAACACGAGGAGGGCAATTGCAAACAGCTTATGCACAGCATAATTCTTGGCCTCTTCTCTTTTGTGACCTTCTGCTGGCTTCCAACTATGTGTTTGACTTATGGCACCATTCTTATTTTGTTTGCTAGTCCACTACTGCACGTTGTTTTAAGAACTTACCCAAGAACAGGGGCACCTGGGTGGTGCAGTCAATTGAGCGCCCGACTCTTGGTTTCAGCTCTGGTCATGATCTCAAGGTCGTGGGATTGAGCCCTGTGTCGGGCCCCGTGCTCTGCACTCAGAGGAGAGTCTGCTTGAGCTTCCCTCTCCCTTTCCCTCTGCCCCTCCCCACCCCCGCTGTTTCTCTCTAAAATAAATAAATAGATCTTTTTTAAAAAAGAGCAACTTACCCAAGATCATGCAGATAATGCATAGCAGAGTCAGGATTCCAACCCATCTCTGTTCGACTCACAACCCTACCTTTTCCCTACCTTATAGAAAATTTCACTTGATTTTTAAAAATGGCAATTTCAAAGGAGAGTTTAATAAAAACACTAAAGCATATGTTTTCATGCACAGGTGGTTAGAAAGTGTGGAGCACGCTCTGGATGTGCACTGCTAACAAAATAAAAATGAATCAAAATGTCGGATCTACTTCATGTTTGACTTTGCATGTAAGTGAGTCCTTTGACTCATTCCTATCCTTTTAGATATGCCAAATTTAGAGCCTCTCCTGTGTTGTGATCCAGTTGGGCATCCTTTGTGGCCCTTAAATAGCAGGAGATCAAATGTCGTGGAGATCTGGGGGGACATCTTCCAAGTCTGCATCAGATTCGAAAATAAATAGCTCTCTTGGCCGCTGAAAGGCTTTCTTTCTTTCAGTGTATTGAACACTGAGTGTATTTTTCCTTGGGTTGAACACTATCTTTCATACATCCCACTTGTTGCTAAAGCTCACGGTTTGAGAGATTTGGCCCTTTCCATCGCTTTAGCTGCTGTGGCCCCCAACCATTCAGCCATCTAGCCCTAGTGTTCCAGAACAGATCCTGGAATCAGATAAGGCATGAGGGTACTTCTGTGGGACCTAGCAAAAATCTTACTTCAAACTTGGGGAGGGGAGATTGTGTTTCAAAGGCTACACACACACACACACACACACACACACACACACATCCCATTCCAAATACTCTTCTTACACAGTGACACTGACACGTCTTCACTGAGAAGTAGGGTCTATCCCCATTTCCCTCCCCATACCCCTTGAATTTGGGCTGATCTTAACAAATCAAATATGGCAGAAGTGATGCTGCTTGGCTTCTAAAATTAGGTCTTAGAAGGCAGTTATACCTTCCATCTGCCCCTGTCTCTGTCTCTGTTTCTCTTTCTTTCTCTGATGCTTGCCCTTGGGACCCACTGCCATGTTGTGAGGAACCACAAGCCACACACAAGTGTTCCAGCTGACGCAGCTTTCAGCTCTAGCTAGGATCCCAGTCAAGAGCCAGCATCTGCTCTCAGACAGTTGAGTGCTGGAGACTGCAGATGATCCGAGTCCCAGCCTTCAAGTATTCCACCTGAGTCTTCAGACAGGTGAAGCAGAGGCAGGTCATCCCCATTGTACTTTTTCTGAATTCCTGACCCACAGAAACCGTGAGCGATAATGCATGATTGTTATTTTAAGTTATGAGAGTATGGGGTGATTTGTTATACAGCAGTAGATAGGACGAGTGGATTCTAGCAATCAAGCCCTCTGAAAAACAGAGGTATGGCAATCTTGAAATAGGACGCTAGATATATATACTTCTTCCATCTCCTCTTTCCACTGCTTTTGCACATATGAGAGTTTGCAGGAATTCCCATCACAGTTTTCTCCAGGTTGATTATGAAGCATCGAGTATGAAGTTGAAGAACACCACCACATTTGTTACAATCAGACACTCAGGAAACACACTAACTCCTACATGATTAGTGTACGAGAACTGTCTTGGCTTATGCATCTCATGTTCTTGGTTCATCCACCATACAGTGGGAAACACGGCAAATGTAAACATTTCAATCTCTGAGGTACAAAAGACAAAGTTTGACCTAAGGTTTAGTGAAGTAAATTGATTTCTTCAGTCCCTTAAAAATCTGTTTTGGTATCACTGGTCTATTTTTCTCCGCACAGGGACCGCACTAGTAAGTGGTGGGGCAGCCTGCCAGGCCTTGAGAGCATCCAAGTAATCTTCTACCCTGAATTAAGCAAGTGTCAGACACTCTTCTTACAATGTCTCATTGAATACTGCATGATCCCTGTGCAGTGCATTTAATTCCCATATTATATAAGGAAACTGAAGCACAGAAAGGTAGGATGGAGGCTCTTCCTAAACACATTTAACTTAAGTGAATTCAACTATGGATACCCTCAGTCACGATATAAAACAAAACACTTACTTTTAGCAGTGCCTATGGCTCCAGACATCTCATTCAATGAGCCTTTGTTTCACATGTCAAACGGTATCTCAAAAAGAAAAGATTTGACGAACAGAGAAAGACATGTATCATATGACCTCACTGATATGAGGAATTCTTAATCGCAGGAAACAAACTGAGGGTTGCTGGAGTGGGGGGTGGGGTGGGAGGGATGGGGTGGCTGGGTGATAGACACTGGGGAGGGTATGTGCTCTGGTAAGCGCTGTGAATTGTGCAAGACTGTTGAATCTCAGATCTGTACCTCTGAAACAAATAATGCAATATATGTTAAGAAAAAAGAAGAAGAAGAAGAAGGTAGCAGGAGGGGAAGAATGAAGCGGGGGAAATCGGAGGGGGAGACCAACCATGAGAGACGATGGACTCTGAAAAACAAACTGAGGGTTCTAGAGGGGAGGGGGGTGGGAGGATGGGTTAGCCTGGTGGTGGGTATTGAGGAGGGCACATTCTGCATGGAGCACTGGGTGTTATGCACAAACAATGAATCATGGAACATTTCATCTAAAACTAATGATGTAATGTATGGGGATTAACATAAGAATAAAAAAAAGATTTGACGTTAAGGAGTATGTGGCCACGCAAAGACACCTGAGTTTGTGCTAACAGAATGTGAAGAGCTTTCAGGGGTAACTGACTGTATGCTCTGACTTGAGGACCTGACCCTCACCATCATCAGACCCCAACTGGTGGTAACATGTCCAAGGTCACAAAACTAGAAGGTGGTGAAGCTGAGGTTCAAACTCATGTCCACCTGATTCAAAATCCCATGCATAATGCATTCCACTATATGTGTGTGTGTCTGTGTGTTTTCTCTACAAGTCCACTATGTTCACTTACAGATATGCATGCCTGCCTGTTTGGGGACAATGCATCTGGGATCATCATCATCATCACCAGGACAGTAACAACAAAAAGCACTGGAGGGTCACTCTATATAGAATACTGGTTGAGAGCAAGGGGTCTAGACCGAAGTTGCCTAGGTTTCAAACCCAGCTCTGCCATTTATCTGCCCTATAAGTGTTCTGGTTATCTATTGTTGTATAATAAACCACCCTAAAACTTCATAATTTAAAAAATAATAATTTCTCATTAGTTTTCATGGTTCCAAAAGGGAGATCCAAGGAGCAAGTGTTCCCCCAAAACTGAGTAGAATCTGTAAGGCTACTTATGAACTATCCCTGGAGTTCATGTGACCTCCCTTGGGCCATATTTGTTGGTCAAGAGCGAGTCACAGCGACCAGGAGAGAGTCAAGGCATCATGGGACAAGCTACCGTCGTAACCTTGCGTATGTAGTTCAGTTCTCTGTGCTTCATTTTCACCATCCATAAAGCGGAGGTGATAAGGGTGCCTACTTGATAGACCTGGTGTGACAATTAAATGACGTAATTACATGTGACGTGGTTAGAAGAGCACCTGGCACATAGCAGGTGTTCATGAAGCTCACGCTGCTGTTATTATTTCCTTAGGAACACCATGCTGGGTACTGGGACGCGATCACTTTACACCCACAGAGAGCTTTGATCCCTCCTATACTGCTTCTAGAGAACATTACCACATCCAGGATCCTTCTTCACAGAGAGCTTCACAAGGCCATTCTGGGGACTCTTCGTTATGCTCCCAGAGGCTCATTCCCACCATGAACAAAGGCAGAAATCCTTTCCCTTGTTGTCACCACGGATTCCCAAGGATATTTCAAAGCCAGCCACACCCAACAGGCTCTCAGGAGGGAAGATCAAGGAGCACACTCACCAACTCTCTTCACACTTTTGAACATGACTCCAAGCGGATCTGTTTAGTAGTCAACTGTCTCCCGTTCACTCCAGGACCCAAGCTGAGAACTTGCAGAGGTCAGCTTCAAAGACGCCAAGGCAAAAAGGGACTTTGTGGTTCCCAGGAACCTTGGCCCCAAACTTGAGAATTTTCTGGACAACTGGCTAGCTGAGGTTCCTTTTGGGAAAAGAAAAAAAAAATTGCTCAGCTGAAAAGCTGCTTGGTTCTGAAGAAATCCGTGGCATGGCTGGCCCACGGTCACATCCTCTCTGACAGCTGCAGACCCTTCCCAGGCACCTGTCACACGGAGTTTCGGCATCAAAGCATGGACACAGCTGTTGGGGAGAGCAGACCACAGGGCAGCATGCAAGGAGCACGGCCTCACGCAGGCTCACCTCCTCTCTTTCCAGCTTCCTTCAGAGCGCGAGGGAAGTGCCTGGACATTGCTGTCCGGCTCACGTACCTCCCAGGGCTCAAAAAGATCTTTGGCAAAAGTCGCCTTTTTGGTGAGAGGCCCAGACCAGCAGTGGGGTGGTGGGAGTTGAGAGGCCTCGGGGTGGACCCTCTGCTGGAGTTCATTCATTACAGAATGGTATTAGAGCTCTATCCAATATTTAAGAACAAAGTGAGGAAAACAGAGGAGGAGAAGGAGGAGCAGGTATTTCTTGACTGATAACAGCCAACTGCAGGAGCGAGGCAGAACTCGGCCCACGACAAAACGAGGCGGAGGCTTGCCGGCTGGAGGACCGTCTTCCTGAGCTGTGGCAGCTTCTCATCTTCAACAGTCTCTACAAGTAAAGACCTGGATGGTCGTTAGCGCCTTCTACCTTTGACCCTCAAATATCAGAGGAGAAAGAGACTATAATCTCCTGATAGTTAAAAAAATGTTAAAAAACAAAAAAATTCCTAGGGGAGGACTGTAGCCAGTTTAGATTAGGTTTCATCCCTGAACCGATCCCTGGACCCATCATCAGGGATGTAGAATAATCAGAAAGTATAGACTCTCATTTATTTCCTGTGACTGTGGGGATAGAGAAGCGAGTCACTAAAAGGAGGAAAGTAAGATTCTCCAAAGATGAAAGAGATCCTGGACACACACACAAAAATCACTAATATCCACAATAGGGATTTTCAGCCAATACCACTCATCAAATCAGTTTTAGGTGAGACTAGTGGACTGAAAGAGAAGGAATGTCACTGGTTGGGGGGAGGGGATAGGAAGGGAGGTCGTTTTGAATCAGAATTTATATGTATTTACAACTCTATAATTATAATTTGTAAGGCTCTCACATAAATACATTTGCAAATCTCTTGTTAAACCATGTGATGTAGGTTTTGTTGAGAATGTATCATCATGGCCGTCATGGTGTCTGAAAAGGCAAAACTTAGGTCAGGGCGCAGCAAATGTTAGTATCAGGATGAGAGATGTGAAGTAAGGGTGGGGTGGGGTGGAGTGCGGTGGGGCAAGGGAAAAGGGACGGAGAAAAGCGAAGTGAGAGACCCCCAAAATAAACTTCACCACCATCAGACTTTTGCCTTTGACGAGCACTGTGGCTTAGATTTTCAGATCTATCTGCATTTGCATGCTTTTCTCATTCAGTAGCTTCAGTTTTTTCTCGGGGGGGGGGGGGGCGGGGGGGGGGAGGAAGGTGGGGGGGAGTCTAGGCACATTTTGTCATGCCTCAGAGGAATCGCAACATCCATTACGTGGCTGGATTTGCAAATCTGGCGCTCCTTGCCTCCTGTTCCAGCCAGAGACCCTTGGGCCACTCCCCCTGCTCTCCGGCGCGGATCCAAGTGCCCATAAGCACAGCGTGCCTGATGAGCGATGTAATGAAGCATCTGTATTTTCCTCCTCAAACTTCTGCAGAGACGTTTCATTGAGTGGGAATAATTAGGACTGAAAAGAGTCACATTTCACTGGCTACATTTTGCCAAATGAGATTTCAAACTTCCTTTAAAATTTCTTCAAACTCTTAACCTCTCATGTGAGCTAAGGCCATGTAAACCTCAAAGATGACCTCTAGAACAAGGAGCCAAAATCATTTCATTGGCTTGAGGTTCGCCTGTATACTAGGTGTGTCAAAGCAGAAGCTCCAAGTTCCACTCTCCGCATCTGTCAGTGGGAGCGGTGATGCTCATGCAGTGATGGCGGCAGGTGCAGAGCCCTGTGCCCCACCCCCCACCCCTGGGGCCTCACTCAGTGGCAGGTGGTGACATTCAGCAGGAAGGAGTTTCGGTACTTGGAGATTTCTCAAAATGTCTCCCAACTTTGTGAAAATCACTATGTCTGATTGGCCACGTCAAAATGGCCAGACCAACATCTACCCTCTTACCCGACTACCTCATCTCAAAGGAAAACCCGCCCCTTCTCCTGTTTAAAGGCAACAAGGTTATCTGTGCTCTAGACATTTCTTCTGTCCCCTCCCTGTCCTCTCCCCACTCCATCCCCTCCTTCAAACCTTTTTCCACCAACATCCTCCTTTCTTCTCCCTTCGGTCTCTCCCTTCTTCAGGCTCCTTCCTCTGGCTTCCAAACACATTGAGGTCTCTGACTGAGCTCTCCCCCTCAAGGGGAGCTTGGGCAGAGACAAGTGCTTGTGGATTCGTGTGGTCAACATTTGGGGGGAGGGAGAGTGTGGCAGAGTAAGCAGCGAGGCAGCTGTTTGTTTTTAGGGTAAAATGCTGTTTCACTGGGTCTCAGAACTCCACTTTAATGCAAGCTGCACCTCACCTGGGATCCCAAGGGCACAGAGAAAACAGTGTCAGACATGGGATGGACAGGAACCACACTTGTGAAGACACAGCTGAAACCCAAAAGATTGACAAGCTCCAAGCTGCAGAAATATTACTGAAATGCAATGGAGAGAAAAAAAAACAGAACAGAAACAAAAACTTTGGTTATAACAAATATGACCGTCGTATAACTATATTCTCTCCAGGGTGACACCAATCACGGGATGGTTACGTGGCAAGTTGGGGAGATGGTGCCAGATCCCTAGGCTACCATATAGAGAGATTTTCCTACATTTCTGGATGAAATTTCAAAGCAAGACATATGTGATTGTACTAGAAGGTCACCCTCTTGCCACTCTCCAAAAGATGAATTTAAATCGATAACTGTAAATTGAATTATATTATCCCAGTGGATGGCAATTACCAAGAGGCTCTCTTTCATTTGTGATTGATCTTCAAATGGCTATCTGTCCTTAGTGCTTTAACTGCTACTTTGTCTTCCCCCAATCTTTCTTGCCAAGTGGCTAATGATCCATAAATGAGAACTTAAGGAAAGAAAAGAACTGCTTTTGTACTGCCAAGAATTATCTTCTACTCCAGATTGTGAACCCTCTGCCTTCTTCTGTTCCTATTACAGTCTGACTTTTTTTTTTTCCTTTGGTGTAATAGGTTTTCTTAAAACTAATGAATACAACAGATATCTGGGGAAAGAATTCTTACATCATGTTTCTAAATCCCATAAAAAAATGTTGCCTCTCTCTCTTTCCAAAGCCTCAGGATAAAGAAAAGCCAAATTCTGACTTAATCTTGGCATTTCCTCTGAACAAGCAGCCTGACCTAGTTCTCTCATTGAGTGTCAAAGTCCTCTGCACACCTGTAGGAAAAATAAAACAAAACCCAAGACCAGAACCCATTTGCTGGATACCCAACATCAGACGTGTGTAAACACGTGGATTTTAAAGGGAGCATTTTTTTAGAGTATGACTTTCACATAATGATGGGCTCCGAGTTGCAAAAATATAACTTACTTTTTTTTAATCATCGTACTTTGCTTAGTTTCCAAGATCCCACTTTCGCTGATGGCAGAAAATCAAACCTTACAGTTAAACATCAATTCAATCTTTTCTGCTTTAAATTTCAAAATAGCTCCTCCTAGGCTAAATAGCCCTTCCCTCGAGTGTATACATTTTTAAAAAGAGAATCTCCTGCTGAGGGAGGTAGTGATATGTGTAACCACTCTACCAAACAGGAAGTTCAGGAGGAAGCTCCGCTAGTATAAAACAGAAGATCCAGTCAACAAAACTAAAAAGCAACTGACAGAATGGGAGAAGATATTTGCAAATGACATAATAAATAAAGGGCTGGTATCCAAGATCTATAAAGAACTTATCAAACTCCACATCCAAAAAAAATAATCCAGTCAAGAAATGGGCAGAAGACATGAACAGACACTTCTCCAAAGAAGACACACAAATGGCCAACAGACACATGAAAAAATGCTCAACATCACTCAGCATCAGGGAAATGCCAATCAAAACCACAATGAGATACCACCTCACACTTGTCAGAATGGCTAAAATTAACAACTCGGGAAACGACAGATGGTGGCAAGGATGTGGAGAAAGGGGAACCCTCTTACACTGTTGATGGGAATGCAAGCTGGTGCAGCCACTCTGGAAAACAGTATGGAGGTTCCTCAGAAAGTTAAAAATAGAGCTACCCTACAACCCAGCAATTGTACTACTGGGTATTTACCCCTAAGACAGAGATGTAGTGAAAAGATGGGGCACGTGCACCCCAATGTTCATAGCAGCAATTTCCACAATAGCCAAACTGTGGGAAGAGCCAAGATTCCCTTCAACAGATGAATGGATAAAGAAGATGTGGTTCGTATATACAATGGAATATTATTCAGCCATCAGAAAGGATGAATTACCTACCATTTAGATCTACATAGATGGAACTGGAGTGTATTATGCTAAGTGAAATAAGTCAATCAAAGAATGACAATTATCATATGGTTTCACTCACATGTGGAACATATGGAATAGCACAGAGGACACAGAGGAGGGAAAACTGATTGGGAAGAAATCAGAGAGGGAGACAAACCATGAGAGACTCTGGACTCTGGGAAACAAATGAGGGCTGTGGAAATGGAGGTAGGTGGGGGGATGGGGTAACTGGATGATGGACATTAAGGAGGGTACATGATGTGATGAGCACTGAGTGTTATACACAACTAATGAATCACTGAACATTACATCAAAAACTAATGATGTACTGTATGTTGGCTAATTGAATTTAAATTAAAAAAAAGAAGAAGATCCAGCCTCTTCTGGAGGGCGTGAGACAGCTGCCCTACCCCATGATTGTCACAATGAAGATGAAGATCGAAGGTTAGGGAGGATATGGGGAGGCAAAGATGGGAAAGAAGAACATTCCAGGGCAGAGCAGTAACGATAGCATGTAGGAAGAACAGAAGTTCACAGGGAGTGTGTGGGGGTGTTAAATTCTGTACAGTAAGGTTGTTAAGGAAAAGTGAGATTGGTGCACGAGAAGGCCATCTAGGCGGGCAAGGAAGTAATATCTGATTTGGAGAATGTTCTGGTGTACGACTACTCAGCCTCTTCAGGCTGGGTCTGTACTCAGTTCAACATGCTTGTGAGATTAAGCAGGTCTTTGCTCTGGAAAAGGTCTCCATCCGTTCGCTAGAACTATGATCTCCTTGGCAGATAACAGGTCTCTTCAGCTCGTTCATGGAAGCAGTAATTCGCCTCCGGAAAGCCTCTTCCCCGTGTATCTGTACTTGTTGGTTTCTATGCTTTAAAAATCTGGAACAACCTCTAATTGAACTGCCTTTTGAAATCACGAAGGATTCTCATTCAGAGGCAGACAATGCAGGGTCAGGATGTGTGTCCTCCTGCATCAGATTGTTCCAGCAGAATTAAATAGGAGACATTGCTTGCATTTTGCTAGCATACCAGTAAGCCAAAAAAAAAAAAAAAAAGATTACTTCATCTGCTTGCCTGAAAATTAATGCAGTGAGCCCCTGCCCATAATGTTGCCTTTGAACCTATGAATTGGTTCAAATTGCATAAAAGGGATTCTGTTCTCCTGAACTGGTGTACAGAAAACACTCCGGAAAACAACTCTCTCTAGGCCTCCAGGGATGTGAAATTGCTAGATGCCTGCCCTCCATGATTACTGAGGAGGCTCTCTCTTTCCTCCTGTGGAGGTCGGCACTCCCCGCAGCTCAGCGAGGTGGGAGCCTTGGCCAATGTTGGAAAAGTTACACAGACAGAGCTGGACAAACAGCCCTGGTTCTCCACGCTAGGGACACCACTTCCCCAGAAGGCCAACCACGTGCTGCTTGCTCAGCAGAGTGGGATTGTGAGTAATTTATCTTTTCCAATACTTTTCAGAATTCTTAAATAAGCAATTATTGCTTTTCTGGACCAAAAAAAAAAAAATTGTCACATTTAAAAATATTGACGCTAAGGGGCACCTGGGTGGCTCAGTCGGTTAAACGTCTGCCTTCAGCTCAGGTCATGATCCCAGGGTCCTGGGATCGAGCCCCGTGTCCTGGGATCAAGCCCCGTGTCAGGATCCCTGCTCTGCAGGGAGTCTGCTTCTCCCTCTCCCTCTGCCACTCCCCCTGCTTGTGTTCCCTCTCTCGATATCTCTCTCTGTGTTAAATAAATTAAAAAAATCTTTAAAAAAAATATTGACGCTAAGATGACCCAGACCTCTGCGGGCTGTGCTAGGGATGGCGTCTGGCCTATCTCCACCTCCCTTTGATAGCAATGATTAGTTTCACTAAGATTCTGTGAAGTAGCTATTATTGTTTTACAGAGGATGAAACTCAGAGGGGACAAATACCTTGCCCGAGGCCCGACATCAGCAGCTGAGTATGGAGTCGAACCCATGCGCTTCTGATGTCAAAGTCTGAGTTTGTACGGGGAAGCTGCCCAACCAGACAGGCTTGGGGGGCTTGAGGATAAGAGCCGAGTCAGCAGGCGTGAAGGGCCCTCTGGGCTCCAAGCGTGTTCTCCGGATGCTTTCAGCTGCAAAGAACTCACACTAGCTCGAACGATAAGGAGCTGTACTGACTCACGTAACTGGAAGACTGCAAATAGGACGGGGTTTAGACACTTGATTTGGGGCTCTGACTTGATTTCTGCTCTTTCTCTGGGTTTGGCCCTTTTCCATACGTCAGACTGTTTCCTTATCCCGATTCCTTTCCCGTCACAGGTCAGCCACGAGAGGAACGGTGCCCCTTCCTGCCCATCCACCCATCTGCCTCTCCTCACACCTCCTCGGCCCAAAGTGCATCAGGCTTCCCTCCCGGGAACCAATTATTGGTGCTGGAGCCAAGTCCACGAGGCTTCTAACTGCAACTCATTGAACAAGCTGCTGGGGGTCAAACACAGTGAACCTTACACCACAGAAATGGAATATTTGTCTAAAATTAAAGGTGATAGTCTCCAGGAATATGAGTGTTTGAGGGAATACATACTTAAAATATAATGTTAATTTCTTTAAAAAACAGGATTAAAAAACTTTCTAAACAGTGCGATCCCAATATTTAGGGTGGGTTTTTAACGTCTGAGAGTTCTCATGTGCACAGAGAAAAGGGTATGGGATGGAATATATCAAAATATTAACAGTACTTCTCTTTGGAGCAAAGCGCAAGGAGATTTAGGGGATTTTTAAAATATTTTTCTCCTAAGTTTTCTATAGTGACTTGCTTGTGCTGTAGAGGCCGTGAGCCCCTCCCGCTTGCGGAGAGCTATCTCGGCAGCCAGAGGCCTGTCCCTCCTCCACACGGGGGCATTCCCTGCCGGTAGCCAAAGAATCCCCATTTTCACACACTCTCCCTTACCCAGCTTTCTAGCACTGCCCTCCCCTAGACATGCTCGCCCACGTCTTGCTGGTCTCAAGTGCCAGGCCCCTCAGCCCCTTCTGGGAATAATGTCTCTTGCAAATAAGCAGGGCCCTGCTTTCCCCAGGCAGCCCCCAGGCCGGGTCTGGTGGCTAAACCGGGAGGGGGGTGCAGACCCCAAGGGTCACCTCACCAGCACTTGCTGGCATGGCGTCTGCCGTGGCTGAGCCCTGGGCACGGGGAGCGGGGCGAAGCTGCCGTCCTCAACGGAAGGTGGGAGACCACTTCTGCTGGCCTGGAAGTTTCACAAGAACCTGGGGATTTCTGGTTCTCAGAAGACCCCAACCCCAGTCCCAGGGTCTCCTCCCGACTAGAGTCCTGACTTCTGTGTGAATGATTTTATAAGGCAAAGTCAGCCTTCTGTGAAGTTCTGCCCATTTTACGATTAGGTCTTGGAACGGCCTGGATTTGAGCTGTCTTGGCCTCAGTTACAGGGAAATAGTCAAAGTCTATCCCAGAGGTCTCCAGCTTTCCTATGGGGCCTTAAATTGGCAATTAATTGACCTGGGTTTATCATTTTCTCTCCTCAATGTGTCATGGCTCTTTGTGACAACCAACCAGTTTCACAGGCGGTTCAATAAAATAGAAACTTGTATATAAAGATCTAATACATGATAAGCAGAGAAATTTCAAATAATGTGGAGAATTCCAAATTATGCAATTAACAGTGTTGGAACATCTATGTTTACTAACAGTAAAACACAGTGAAAGACCTACCACACACATACCTAAATAAATTCCAGATGTAATTCAATTTAAAAAAAAAAAAGCAAACTTCAACAGAACTAAGAAAAAAAGTATAGAATAGAATTTAAAATTCCTATTGGGGGCACCTGGGTGGCTCAGTCGTTAAGCGTCTGCCTTCGGCTCTGGTCGTGATCCCAGGGTCCTGGGATCGAGCCCCATATCGGGCTCCCTGCTCCGCGGGAAGCCTGCTTCTCCCTCTCCTACTCCCCCTGCTTGTGTCCCCTCTCTCGCTGTCTCTTTCTCTGTCAAATAAATAAATAAAATCTTCAAAAAAAAAAGTATAGGTGAATATTTAAGTAATCTTGATTACAGAAGGCTTTCTAAGCATTTCACAAAAGGAAAAAACAATATAAGGAAAATGTTATAATTTTGTCAATTATATCTTAATAAAGCTGAAAATAAGATTGATAGTTTTAACTAATTTTTATATTTTTCAGTTGTTCTTTTTTAATCTTCCAAAGTAAAATTAAAAAACAAAGTATAAATTATAATATTTATAATAGAAATGACATACAGGTATAATATACGTGTGTGTATGTATGTGTCTGTAAAATACATGTATCTTTATTAGAGCATAAAACTCTAGAAATCAGTTCAAAAAAATAAACATCTTTGGGGTAAATACCCAGTTGTGCAGTTGCTGGATAGTATGGTAGCTCTATTTTCAACTTTTTGAGGAACCTCCATACTGTTTTCCAGAGTGCCTGCACCAGCTTGCATTCCCACCAACAGTGTAGGAGGGTTCCCCTTTCTCTGCATCCTCGCCAACATCTGTCGTTTCCTGACTTGTCAATTTTAGCCATTCTGACTGGTGTGAGGTGGTATCTCATTGAGGTTTTGATTTGGATTTCCCTGATGCCGAGCGATATTGAGCACTTTTTCATGTGTCTGTTGGCCATTTGGATGTCTTCTTTGGAAAAATATCTTTTCATGTCTTCTGCCCATTTCTTTTTTTTTTAAGATTTTATTTATTTATTTGAGAGAGAGAGAGAATGAGAGAGAGCACATGAGAGGGGGGAGGGTCAGAGGGAGAAGCAGACTCCCTGCCGAGCAGGGAGCCCGATGCGGGACTCGATCCAGGGACTCCAGGATCATGACCTGAGCCGAAGGCAGTCGCTTAACCAACTGAGCCATCCAGGTGCCCCTCTGCCCATTTCTTGATTGGATTCTTTGTTCTTTGGGTGTTGAGTTTGATAAGTTCTTTATAGATTTTGGATACTAGCCCTTTATCTGATATGTCATTTGCAAATATCTTCTCCCATTCTGTTGGTTGTCTTTTGGTTTTGTTGACTGTTTCCCAAAGATACAAAAGTAGGGATCCGAAAGGGTACGTGCACCCCAATGTTTATAGCAGCAATGTCCACAATAGCCAAACTATGGAAAGAGCCAAGATGTCCACCGACAGATGAATGGATAAAGAAGATGTGGTATATATACAATGGAATATTATGCAGCCATCAAAAGGAATGAGATCTTGCCATTTGCAATTACGTGGATGGAACTGGAGGGTATTATGCTGAGCGAAATAAGTCAAACAGAGAAAGACATGTATCATATGACCTCACTGATATGAGGAATTCTTAATCTCAGGAAACAAACTGAGGGTTGCTGGAGTGGGGGCTGGGGTGGGAGGGATGGGGTGACTGGGTGATAGACACTGGGGAGGGTATGTGCTCTGGTAAGCGCTGTGAATTGTGCAAGACTGTTGAATCTCAGATCTGTACCTCTGAAACAAATAATGCAATATATGTTAAGAAAAAAAAAGAAGAAGAAGAAGATAGCAGGAGGGGAAGGATGAAGGGGGGGAAATCGGAGGCGTAGACGAACCATGAGAGACGATGGACTCTGAAAAACAAACTGAGGGTTCTAGAGGGGAGGGGGGTGGGAGGATGGGTTAGCCTGGTGATGGGTACTGAGGAAGGCACGTTCTGCATGGAGCACTGGGTGTTATGCACAAACAATGAATCATGGAACACTACATCTAAAACTAATGATGTAATATATGGGGATTAACATAACAATAAAAAAATTTTTAAAAAATAAACATCAACATAAATATAGTAAATGGGGAAATCACAAAAGAAACTTTTAAGTGGCTACAAAAACATGGCAACATACAACTTCATGGTTTAAAATAAATTCAAATTCTAAAAATGTTACTACCTACTTATCCAACTGGAAAAAGGTTTTAAATAATGATTTCCATTACTTACATGGAAGTTTAAAACAACCTAACTGCTTAATAATAGAAGGTTTCCAAGATACACAGTCGTGCATTCCTAAAAATGGAATACTCTCTCATGCATTACAATTTTTTATGATTCCAAGTAATAGAAAATGTGTTCATGCTGTATCATGTGAACAACAGGTTTCAAAACCATATGGATCGGATCCGCCTATGTTTTAAAAAGAAATCATATGACTGTGCACAGGGAAGAGACCTAGCGGATATGCAGACAGTTTTCGATGGGTGGCGGAATCACCGGATGAATTTAATTTTTTTTCTTTTTGTTTATCTCGATCAAATAAATGTCATACAATGAGTATGTAGTACTTTTGAAATAAGATTTATCATTACCATTTATTAGCTTTCAAGGGTATAGCTGTCCAGATTCCCCTAATAAAATGTTCCTCGGGGTACCCAACCCCATTGGTGATAAAGTCTGGGGGAGACACAGGCGAAAGGGCAGATTGGATAAGTGAAGCATAACAGCTCGCGGGCGCCTCCAGGTGTGGGGTGGGGAAGCTCTGTGAGGTCAGCCTTGACTTCCTTCCCTCCCAGCCCAATGCCCTCCCTCGCTGTGCTGCAGGCCAGGCCTCCCCTTGGTTGTGCGGGGCCCTCTGCACTCTCCAGAAGTGACACTGGCATGATGCCCAGCCCCCCACCTCTTCTGTAGAATATCAGCCCTGTACGTCTTACAAGTGTTCCAACGTCAGGCTGTGCCCTCCGGTGCAAAACGCCTCCCTGGTGGTGACAGGTTTATTGCATTTGAAGGTGAAGGTTCTATAAAGTTCAATTAGGACCAGACAGAATTCTACCGAAAAGCTTAATAACAGGCAAGAATATGAGTCATTCCAACTCAATATTATGGGAAGTTTCACTCGGGATTTCTTTCTTCTCTGAATGGCCAAGTATAACAAAGGCCCATAAAATAAATAGCAGTAATCTGCAGTTTTCTTTCTCTCTCACTGATAGAACTGGTCAGACAGTTCCCCGCGGGGCATAAGGCATATGCGTCATCACACTGCCTTTCTAGGGCTGATGATGTTTATAGTTGCCTCCAGATTGATGATGTGACTACAGTCAAGACATTCTTCAGCCAGGCATCATGGAGGGCCAGTGAAAGGAGACTGCTTTTTGCAGAGGCAAAGAAAAGCCTCTTTCTGGCCCAGAGCCTTGCCATCCTTGGGGCACAGAGGTCCCCAGAAGAAGGAAGCCACAGAGAATACAGGCCACCACGGCAGCCCTAAGCCTGCTTCCTGAACAGCAGGTCACCAAGAATTCACACAGACCATTCCTGATGATGATGATGATGTGTGTGTGTGTGTGTGCGTGTGTGTGCTGGGCTTTCTGCCAACAGACAAGCTTGAGAAATGGGTGGTCTGGCTCCATCTAGTCTGACTTCTTGGTTTATAGCCTAATGACCAAGAATGGAATAATTGGATTATGAGAGAATTTGGTATAAGATTAATATAGACAGTGTTAGAATGGAATTCTTTATTATTATTATTATTCCTCCCATACTTATCAGACCATTAGCCATGCATTCACTTAAATGCTGAAGAGCAGGAACAAGGAAAACACTGTGAGGGAGCCAATCGGAAATGAACTTGGTTTATCAGCATGTTTGACCAGCCAACAACACTTCCAAGACCCTCCAGAGGCAAGTGTCAAACTTTATAATAGCTTCATATTTATATTTACATATCTTATCTTACATGTTCTGAGTTTTAAAAACAGAAAGAGAGCTTAAATGACTTGCCTGGTCAGCAGAGAGGCTTGTCGGGAAGTCACGCGCAGTCTTCTAGTCCACATTCATGAGCAGGGGAGGCGCCATGATGCACTCTGTCTTAGAAACTCGTCTACGGAAGAGAGCACGATGGAAGCTTCAGAATCAAGGTTTATAGGTTTCAAAGAGCACTGACTATCCATAAGGCACTGTGCTAAGTGCTCTAAGGATTGCAACTACAAAGAGGATATGGCCCATCTCTCAAGGAGGGAATTAACGGACAGGAGAGAGATAGGTATAAATAATCCTGATACAAAGTAGATGGTAGCATCACAGCAAAAGGGCCAACAGAGTTTAAAAGGGATATATGCGGTGGCCTCTGAACAGTAAGATTTGGACAGATGCAGAAAGAGGGGAAAGTGCCCAGGTGGGACAAAACGGGGCAGAGAGGCAGGAGTGGGAATGTTCAGGAACATTCAGGGAGAGTGCCCAGTTCAACGGGAGGCCAGGGTGTTCTTCTTAGCCTCTTGGACCCAGAGCACAAATCCGCCTGTAGCTTTCCTGCAGGAGACCCCAGAGGTAGGAGGGAAGAGCCCTGGACTTGCTTCTAGTCCTGGCCAGGTCACTTCCTAGACCAAAATCCTGGTGACCTCAAGCCAGCAGCCTCACCATTCTGTGCTGGTTTTCTCACTGATATATGGGAACGACACTGACCTCGTGAGGTGTTGGGAATATTAGGCAATCTGCGTATCCACCAGGCCAGCACTGTTGTGTGCACCACACGGAATGCGTGAACCAACTGAGGATGGTCCTTGCCGTCACATGGCTCTGTCTAGCAGGAGAATCAGGTATGAAACAAATGAGAGGCACTCAGCCTTCATTTATCAGCTTAGAAGGCCTTTTCTGAACACTCCTTCCTGCCCCTCTCCAACCTAAATTAGATCCCCTCCACCCTATTTTCCCTCTATCTACTTTTCCTTTGAGACACTGCGCTTGTTTTAAATTATAAGTTTATGTCACTGATAGCTAGATGCGAAGTGCGTAAAGAAAGTTCCAAGCAGACCATGACCCAGTGATTTATGTGATGCCCTTAAGGTGGGAAAGACTTCAGACCTTTTTTTTTTTTTAAAGATTTTATTGATTTATTAGAGAGAGAGAGAGAAAGCACAAGCAGCGGGAGTGGCAGGCAGAGGGAGAAGCAGGCTCCTCACTAAGCAAGGAGCCCGATGCGGGACTTGATCCCAGGACCCTGGGATCATGACCTGAGCCGAAGGCAGACGCTTAACCGACTGAGCCACCCAGGCGTCCCGACTTCAGACTTTTGAGGAATTGAAAACTCAGTGTGGATGGAATGCAAAGGGAAGGAGAAGGGTCAAGAGGTGGTCAGGGAAACAGGCATGGGTCAGATCATGCAAGGACAAGAGGAAGAACTTTATACTTACTGTCATTGCCATGGAATCCACTGATGGTTTTAAGTCAGTAAGAGCCTGAGACGAATGGGGGTGGAGTGAAGACAGCAGTTATCCCATTTCCCCCGGAGCAGAGGTGAGACTGGCCCAACCCCAGTCACAGGTACTGGGTCAGGACCCGAGCTGGCAAATGCGAGTGAGCTCCAGGGACTGGTTACAGCAGTTGGAGGAAAGGGAAATCCCCTCACGCCGCCCCAAGAACTCCGGGTAGCCCCTCTGCTATCACAAGAGGGGCCCGGGTGAGGATAAAAGCAGCCAACAAAGGAGGTCCCAGGGGAGGGATGAGAGGAGAGATGGAGCAGCAGGTCCTACTCACCTCGAAAACTCCCAAGGAAGCCCGCCCCACCCATGGACGCACTGGGCACCTGAGCCAATAAATCCCACTCTTGGTTACAAATGAACAAATACCAAGAACATCGGAGCCCAAGGGGCAACCTTACATGCACAGCTCTTTAACATGCATGGAACTAGCAGGGTGGGAATCCAGCCAGGCGACCAAGAAAAGTGATGAGACCTTGGGCAGAGGACTTCTTGATGTCTACATATGGAAGATGATCTGGGATGAAAGTCGTGGCTTCCTCCAGCTCCTCATGCATCTTCAGGCTAATTCTTTGCCCCTAACATAATTCAACTCTGCTTCACACGCTGCTTTTTCCACCTTCCAACCAGCTTTCTTATCTTCCAACCTGTATAGATTTTTTTTCTATATAATAACTTTTATCTGCAACTTTGGCTTACTTACTCAAAGCCCATCATGGCCCTCATATCAGCCTCTTTCTATCGTATTTCTCATCCGCTTCAGAGTCCACTACTGACTGCCCAATTATCTCCCTATTTCCCCAACCGAGTTCCAGAGAGTGGGCATCCAACCAGCCCAGCTCCTTCCTTGTTGAGCAGAGCTCGGCACACCAGACCCCCCTCACAGGACTGTGGGGTGACAGCCCATGGGCCATATGTATCCAGAAATGGGAGGGCTCATGGATGCCTCACCTGTTTTCCTGAGATGCACATGATCCACCAATACACGCCAGGGCTGCCGCCAGGAGAGAAAAGGCAAATGACTTGGAATCTCAATTTGAAAGGTTTGGTTTTACTACTGTAAGCAAAAGTTTTTCATTTTTAATGGATGAGAATGCTATTGGTCTCTGGTGTCCTTGAAAAGACTTTCTTTGAACCAAGAAATAATCATTTACTTCACTGGGAAACAAAATGAACCATGCAAATGGAAATTGTGAGTTACTCATTTGGAAACTAATTGGGGGAAAAAACAAAATCTGCAATCGAATGTGCATCTGCTTCAAAGCAGAGTGGCTTGTGATGGAGCCAAGTGCGTCTTCCTTCCTTCTCCTTACATTTCTCCCCAGGCTTTTTAAGTAGATGAAATATAACTATAAATCCAAGAGCATTTTCCTTATTGCTGTGGGCCCAATGGAGCTAAGGCAACTAAGATTCTGTAAGAAAATTTCAGAGATCCTTGGGCTCATGTTGTCTTCTATGCTTATTTGTGAGTCTGGCATCTGTGTTGCAATCTTGTTCTGGTCTGGATTTTTCTGCAGATGACGTCCGTGCTTTTAAGGAAGGAATGTACTGTCATTTAAGCAACATCAGAAACCTTAGCTCCACACATCCTTCTATTTAAAACACTGTGTCCATCTTCCTGATGCCCTCTCTTTCCTTCTGCCCCACTCGATGCCTGCTTATAGCAGCCATGTCTGTGGCCACAGCCAGACCCTTCCTGAGGGCTGCTACTTCCTCCCGCCCTGCCTCACACCCCCTCACCCTCCTGAACTGCAAACCTTAGGGGTAGGTAGGAGGAGGTGGGACGCCTGGAGCCAGGCCTCCTCCGAGAGGGACAATCAAGAGATGAGAATCTGGTCCCCAGTGCGGCCAATTCTGCTCACTTTGCTCTCCTGAGGGTCCATCACACGCCAGCAGCTGATCCTTGCCAAATTCACAAGACACCACCATGAGGGCCAACTTAGTTTAGATGGAAAGCGCACCTTACTGGTGATGGGCACACTCATGCCTACTGCTCAGGGCACAGCCCTCCCTCTGCCCCTGCCCCCTCACCTTCAGCTGCCACGTTACCTGGGACACCGACTTGCTGCCAGAAGGATGCCACCCCAAACAAAGAAACCTGGCCGATGTTCTGGATGCTCTCCCGAGTCCTCTAGGTAGTGCAGCTTTAACGTGAATGGAAAACTCACGTCTGCCACACAGCGTCTCTGTGTTTCTGACAGTGACAGATTAGCAATCACAGATTCTTCCCAAACACTTGCCTTTTCAATGTTCTTTAACAGCCACCGACGATTTGTGTCATTACAACATACCCTCAAGATAGACATGTCACTATTTCCAAGATGACAGCCTATCTTTCATTAGTCACATTCTAAACTGACGCCGTCTTTTGGGGGTGAGGGGCAGGGGGAGCACCTGAGGTCCCTGGCTGGGAGCTAAGAGCTCCCGAATCGTATCGGACACACCCATCCAGATCATTTCCTTCCAAAAAGATTCCCACAGATGGGCAATCTCATTCATTTATGACACTTTATTGATTTTAGATTCAAACTGTCATTTCCTTTCCTTTGTCCTCAAATAGTTGCAGTGGACATGATGGTGAATCTGCAGCTGAGTTCAAGTGTTTCGAGTCCATGTATTAGATGCTAGAGGTGGGGGTGGGATGAAAACTAGCAGAGACAAAGTCCTCGTCTCCATCAGTGTATACTCTGGAGGCACAAAACTGTTCCAAATCTGAAGATGGCAATAGGAATGGCATTTGGCATGTCAAGGGAGTGACGCAGAGATGGGCCACGCTGAGATTTCAGGGCAGAGAACCCCGGGGACTTGGCCCTGTAGTGGGCTGGGTGGTTTCCCCCAAAAGAATGTGTCCATGCCCTAACTTCTGAAACCTATGAATGTGACCTTATTTGGAAAAAAGGGTCTTTGCAGATGGAATTAAGGATCGTGAGACGAGATCGTCCTGGATGATCTGAGTGAGCCCTAAGTCCAATGATAAACACCCTTCTTAGACAGAGAAGTGAGACGAGGAGAGGACGATAGAGAGACAGAGGCTGAGGCTGGAGTGATGGAGCCACAAGCCAAGGAATGCCTGGAGCCACCAGAAGCTGGAAAAGAAAAAGGAAGGCTTCTTCCCTTGAACTTGTGGGAGGAGGACAGCCCTGCCAACACCTTGATTCCAGACTTGGCTTCCAGAACAATGAAAGAATGTCTACTGCTCTAAACTGCCAAAGTTGTGGTAATTTGTTCTGGCAGGCAACGGAACGACTACAGTCCATTTCGCTGGGACACTCTCTGGTGTCCCCCAACTCAGACCTGAGCCTTCATGAAACTTCCCCAGAGAAGCATTCTCTGATGCCCCACCCCGCCCACCCCAAAGCTAAATTAGGTCCCCTCATTACTCCCTTCCAGCCCTAGCCGACTCCAGACCCCACCTACTTTTCCTTCCTCGTGCTCATTAGAACTTTTCGTACCTACTGGGGGCCTGAACAACTTATTGAGATGCTAGTTTCACGTTTGCTTCTGTCTAAAAACTCCCCTATTGTCTTCCTCAAAAGAACCCCCGGCTTTGCTCTGCTTTGTTTCCTTAAGGCCGGAACCCCTGAGGAGATGACCTGGAAACAGCGAGAGCAAGGGGAAAGCAGCAGCCAGGAGGGGAGCAGGTGCTCAGGAATGGGGAGCTGAGCTGTACACAGCCGTCCCCCTGCCAGCACGCACCGCGGGCCGCGGGCGCTGGGGCTCAGGCGCTCACGCACGTTCCCAGCCCCAGAGGCAGAGCTCGGACCACTAGAGACCTTCGCACGACAGAGGTTAGCCCGCAAGATCCAGGGCAACCAGCTGGCCACTGGCTGGGAGGCACCTTCCTGTTCGCTGCCGCGAGAAGGAGCAGATGACTCCTCTGGTGGGGGTAGGGGGAGCGTGAGGAGGGTGGGCAGGAACCGCTGTTGGTTCCTGCCAACCGCTCAGTGCGGAATGCCAGTAAAACGGAACTCTCCCTGCTCTCTCAGTTGTGGCTGGTATCACAGAGCTAAGAACAAAGGACAGTAAGTACCCACACACTCCCAAGGCAAGTATCAATGTCTGCAAAACTCGTGACGGTGACCTCTAAAATCCAGCCAGCATCACCCCATCACCCAAGAGGGAGCCTTAATAGTAGAACTAGAAACTGAGTGAGGATTTCCCGGGAAGGGACGTTGTCTGAGTGCCCGGTGTCACACCCTTCCTTGGAGAACGGCAGCGGGCTGGAGGGAATCACCCAGGGTGACCTGTTTCCCCTGGAGATGGGAGGAGAGAGGTACACAAGTTGGTCCAAAGGGGAGAAGCAGGCTGGAGCAGCCTCTGGTGACAAATCAAAGATCCAGGGCTGCTTCGGGAATGGGCCGTCCTTCCAGAATTCAACAGTATCCCCCCAAGCTGCCCTTCCGGAATATAGACGGATTTGGGGCATTTTGAAGAAAAAAAAAAATCCCAGCCAAGAGGACCATCTTGAGGGGCTGAGTATCCCCCAAAAAGGAGTCTGTGTGGGACAGACTGCAGAATTCCAGAAGGAGCAGCCCCTGTGCTGGGGAGCTTCATGAAAGAGAGCCTAGGGATGGCGTTCTCTGAAAAGCCCCCCAACAATCTCGGCAGAAGAAGGTCAGCGTTGGGAGAGCCGCCACCTGCAGACCATCCTGACCCCAGCTCCCTAGGAAGGGTTTTTGTTGTTGTTTGGCTTTACTCTGCTCCTTCCCTCTCTCTTCTCTTCTGCGCCACCTTAGTGGGGTGAGGGGCAAGGTAGCACAACCTGGCGCGGGGGAGGACAGAGCTAGAGCATCCTCATGCTCTCTCTCCTGCCGGCGTCCCAGTGTGGGCAGAGACAGAAGGTTCTGCGGGGTTAGACCGCCTGCCCTTTTAATACCTGAAGCATGGAATTATTCGTGAACACCTGAAAATGACTCGATAGGGCTAGGGGATTTACCCAAGACTTCATCCCGAAGTAGAGAAGAAAGCTGCAGGGGACCTTGTGGAAGGAGAAAGCTGCTTTCTCCTTGTGCCTTTCTCAGCCGGGCTCAAACAAAAGCTGGTCCGGTTCCCAGTTCCGTGGGCCTCTCCTCCCCGGTGAGGCCAGGGGGGAGCCCTGCCCGGCTGCGGTGGGCTCACGCCTGGTTCACAGGCCCAGAGAGCGCGGGCCAGGGACAGTATGCGCGGCGACAGGGCCGGAGTGGCCCGAGGGCGGCTCCCATGCTTACAGCCTGTGTCTCCCCCTCCGGACAAAGCCACTCACAACTCAGTGTGGCCTTCTTCTAACCACCCATGAGACAAGGTGACCGACTCCCTGCAAACACAGGAGCGAAGGAGGCCCTCCACGCGGCGGACTTGACTTCCCGGGATCCTCTCGAGCTCTCCAACGAGCTCCCCGGGGACGTTCTGCCGTCAGAGGTTCCCGGCTACACCTACGATGCGGATCCAGTTTTTAATCTAGGGTTGGCAGACTAAGTAAGAGGAGGGAGCCGGGTCTCGGTTTCAAGCCATTTTCATGTATTTTCTTCACGAAAGGAAAGAGCAGGGATCTAAATGGGCTGGGAGAGGACAAGGCAGAGGCAGAAGAGAAGACTTCAAGTCACTCTTTGCCCATGAGACCTGCCCCCAGCTCCCGTCCGCCTGACGGACGCTCTCGAAAATTCACCGTTTTTGAAACTGTCAGTTCTGTCCACCCAGCTGTAGCCACGTTCCTCCCATGCCTTTGCTGAGCTTGCTGGGAGCGCCGTGCATGGCTCTGCACGACGTCTCTGGATTGTGCGAGAACAACAGGCGTGTGTTGATTGCAACTCCCAGAGAAAGAGCTCTAGATGGGGGCGTCTGGGTGGCTCAGTCAGTTGAGCGGCCAACTCTTGATTTCGGCTCAGGTCATGATCTCAGGGTTGGGAGAGCAAGCCCCGCATCGGGCTCTGAGCTGGGCATGGAGCCTGCTGGGATTCTCTCTGTCCCTCTCCCTCTGCTCCTCCCCCAACTCTAGAAAAAAGTTACAGTAGAAAACATTCACATTAAATATCAACAGCTAATGAGTACATTCTTAATACTGTCCCCTGAAAAGCAGAGCTTGTCACCCATTAGCAATTATTGTTAAGGTCAGCTAGGGAAGTCAGGGCGGCTTCCCATGGGGACAGGACATCAGATGGCGCAACCGGTTTACTGAGGGGTCTCAATTATTGGGATTAAAAAGAGAAACTATTTTTCCTTACAGTTGCCACCCAATGATACTAGGTCAAACCCATCTTCCCTCCTGACTGATTCCATAACATTTTAGTCACCTTTGACTTCCAAAAATGTCTTAGTGGAAACATTTCAAAAGTGTCTAGGAATCAGTCCTATTCATGTTTGAACTTCAATTTCCCATAGGATTCCAAGCTCTTCCCCAAAGCGGTCCCCTCCCCAGTCCTACTTCCAGCTCAGCTTGTGGTTCCAGCAGCTTGCGGAGGATAGAGCATCCTGCCTCTCCCTTCCTTCCTTACACTCCCGCTTCCTAGTCAGGGTAGGGAGGAGGAAGAGAGAGGAACTGACATCTTCCTTGGCTGAGCGAGTTCTCAGCTCTCTCCCTGGGCAACCAGGGCCACTTTTCTAGGACCCAGAATGTGGGCTGTGGGCGGGTGGTCCATCCAACCTGCCCTGTTCAGCGAGGGGCCCCCTCCCCAGCAGCGACTCCAGGCCCCTGCAGTCATTTGGGTGATATGGCCATACCTGGGCACCGTAAGTCCATGTGGGATTCATCCCGCACGCCTCCAGCACAGAAGCTGCTTTGGCGCCATCTTTGTCCGGCCGTCCCCTCGCCGGGTGATGCCCTCCTCCATTCTCCTTCCCCCATGCTGTGGTAACACAGAGGCAAATTAGCAGGCCCCCCAGAGGACAGTAGGCAAAGCCCCAGCTAGGGGATATCGTCAGTCAGTCTCCCTTTCTTCCAGTCCCCTCCCTCATCTTCACAAGCGTTTCTACCAGGACTTTACTCCCTTCACTACAGGGACAGACAACAACCCCCTCCCTCCCATTGTGTCTCTACACAGAAGGTCTTGGGGAGGAAAACACAATTTCCTTGGATACACTGCGTCACACTTCCCAAAGGCAGCCTTCCCCCTTACACGTCTCTCCTTAAATCAAGAATGAGGACTGGAGAGGGGAAAAGACAGTTGAAGAAACAGAGAGGCAATGTTAGACCAATTCTCTGAATTTTTTCAGTAAGCTCTATGGGTAAATCACTGCTGCCCCACTTTGGCAGTTTTCTGGATTTAGATTATTACTATATGTAGACCTGTTTATTCCTGACTTTGAAGTCTTGAGACAACAGACATGACATGACATCCTGAAGTAATAGTTTCCATGAAATATATATATTTATTTTCAACAATTCCAGAAAGACTACAAATGTTAGAATATTATGCTCTAATACTCTTTTTCTTGGCCAAGCAATCTGGTGACAGGGGAGGAGGTGGTTGGCAAGACCATAGTGTGTTAAAAATAAAGCCCCATAAACATCAAAGTTATGTACATACATACATTTTCATAAACACATTTGAATTTCCATGTCAAGTACATCACATACTTGTACTGGGAACAGTGAGGAATACATGTATATATAACTATATATATTAGTTATGAACGTATTATAACATATATCCACTTATAAGGAGCCACAACCATTTCTTCTGGGTTACAAAAATTCAAGTGATTCAACAGGGTTCTCATGGTGTATAATATCCATTTTTCACTGGAAACCTCTCTTTCTATAACTGCATGCTCTTGTTTTATATTGGTGGTGTTCTCATTAGAAAATGAGAACTTAGTTACTTTCCTTTTTCCTCTCATTCATTTAGTCTACATTTATCAAACACCAAAATGTCTGTGGAAACAAGACAAAACCATGTCCTCCTTCAAGGAACTCCCATGCCATGATCCCAGGGTTCTGGGATCGAGCCCCACGTCGGACTCCCCGTTCGGAGGGAAGCCTGCTTCTCCCTCTGCCACTCCCCCTGCTGTGTTCCCTCTCTCGCTGTGTCTCTCTCTGTCAAATGGATGGATAAAATCTTTAAAAAAAGAAAAAAGAAAAGGAAGCGGCATCCACCTCGACTGAGGACACAGTGGGTGAGAGGTGATCACAGGAAGGAATAGTCTGAAAAATAACATTTGTGCCAAGTCATAAAGGATTATAATCAAGCTACCCTTTCCCTCTAACAATATATCATGAACATTAATCCATGTCAATAGACACAGCTCTAAATCATCATTTTCAACAGCAGCTTAGCACTCCATGAGAGAAATATACCATAACTTAACCACACTTCATATATCTATATATAACAGATCACACTTTTG